CTGGGCAAAGAGCTGTGCAAGATCCCCAGCCAGGATCAGCCCATCTACAGTGAAAGTTTGGATGTCGGTGGAGACTATGAGGAGCTGCCAGAGCCCTCTGAATACTGTGACAGTACCAGTGGAGGTGCTGACTATGAGGAGCTGCCAGCACCCTTGGGAAAACCGGATGCCATCTATGACCATGGAGGAGATGGAGGTGATGACTATGAGGACATCCTTCCTGAGGAGCCCAGTCAGACCCAGCCCCACCTGGGTGAGTACAGATGGAAGAGCCCATGTTATGGGGACCTTGTATCTGTGCACTCACCTCGCTGGATGTGTGGGACAGACTCCAGAGGGAATTTGTATCCTGAAGTCTACTGTGGTCAGAGCAGCAGCCCGTGATGATGGAGACTTGGTTGTCTCCCACTCCCTTACCTGGCTCCAAGGTGTGAGATCAGCTACATGGGATGCTGGGCCAGGCAGCAAGTATCTCTGCTGGAGCAGAACTCAGGCAGGAGGACCAGAGGGCTGCTGTGGGCTCTGAAGAAGCTGGACCTGGACCAATGCTCTTGGTGCGCTCTTTCCTGGCAAGCGACTGCCAGTGCTGCACTGAGGCCTGGGGGTGCCCTCTTAATTCAGTCTGTTGCTCAAATGGCTGGTGCTCATGAGACCTGAGCTGGTGGTGTGTCCTGGGTGTGAGTAGTGCAGGGTAGTCTTCCTCCAAGCACGTAAGCAAACTGCATGGGCTGCTGTTGATGTTTTTGTTGTTGATGTTTCTGTTGCAGCTTTGCTGGTACTGGAGGTGGTATCAGAGTGGAAAGGCTGGAGTTATGTCCAGCCTTTTTCTTGGGAGAGGAACATGAAGCATCAGGACCTGCCTCTCTCCTTGCAGAAGGAGAGGGAAGTCATACCTTGCTTTAAGCCATGGTACAGCTCTCCCTGTTGGTAGGGTTTGGATGTGGTTCACCCCAAGGCTGACAGCTGGGTGGAGGGCGGCACTGACCAGATCTATATGGCTGCTTTCAGCCTCTTTCTCATCTGCCTGTCCTGTCTTCTGCAGGGGAAACGGACAATGTTTATGAGGTGGAGAGCTCTGGAACCTGTGCAGTGGCTCTCTATGATTACCAAGGAGGTGGGTCTGCCATCCAGGCTGTGGGGAGAGGCACTGGAAGCTGGCTAGAGCGGTGTGACAGGGAGGTGGTGGCTTACACCATCAGCAGTGGTGAAAAGATTTCAACTTGGTGGTTTAAATTTCTTCCTCTTGGAAAGCAGAATGAGACCTGACTTGGGAATACAGAAGCTTTATCTTTTGTCTCTGAGGTCTTGCTCCTTATCTGCTTTATCTGCTATTTGATGGGGGTTGGATGAGATGAACTCTGAGGGTTATCAGACTGCTTGTTCTATATTCTCCTCCTTGGGGGGGGTGGGAGGAAGGATGTAAAAGCAGCTCTCTCTGGGGTTATCTTTGCGTCATGACTATCTTTTCTGAACAATTTTTGCAGATGGAGATGATGAGATTTCTTTTGATCCTGATGACACAATCACACACATCGAGATGGTGGATGAAGGCTGGTGGAGGGGGCAGTGCCGGGGCAAAATAGGCCTCTTTCCAGCAAATTATGTGAAGCTCCTGCAGTGAAACCAGCGTTGTCCAAGCTGCTTCCTCCAAACTTTTGCCTGTCTCTGCTTCAGCCTTTTACATGTTATTAGCTTAATTTGGCTTGGCCAGGTCGGTCTACATGCAAGAAATACCAAGGAGCAAACTGGCAGTGTCTGAGCGAATGCTTCAGCCTATGCCCAAGAGGACTTTGTGGTTCCAGATGGAAAAGGTGGGATAGTTTAAGAGCATGTGAGTGCGATATAAGATGTATTTTCTACCTAAGCTGTCCCACATGTCAACTAGCAAGCTTGCAGAAGTGTGTCCATGCCTGTTCCCAACAGGGCAATTCACAGAAAAGAAACACCAACTCTAATCCAGTCAAGGCAGAAGGGACATGAGCTATGGGACCTTTTTAAGTTGTTGTGGCCCTGAATCTCATCCTACCCAGGGGTCAATGAAGAGAGCACTGTGAAGGCCAAATTTGCCTTTGTTCCCAGGAAGGTTTTCCACTTGCAAGATGAACTGTGTTTGCAACATGCGGTAGAGAAACATGAACCTGGTCTATCTGGGCAGATTTCAGGTCCAGGGCCTGGGAACATCTGACCATCACAGTGAGCACTGCTGACTTTTCCTGCACACACACACAAGCTTGGCTGTAGTGAGCTGTTCCATTAAACAAGAGAAATGTGTGCTGGCTCAATGAAAATGTAGGATGATCTTACTAAGGTAGGAGATTACTTACTTGGTTTTCGTCTGTGAGCCAAGAATGCTGTTGGGATGTGTCATTTCTGAGGTAAACCTTGAAAAAATAAGTGTAAAAATTATTTTCTGAGAGAATTATTCTGGAAAACCTGTCTTGGAGCAAGAGAAAAATACTAAAAGGCTTCACTTAACAAAGAGTATGTTAATAACTGTCTTGGTCGTCATCCAGGCAGCCCATCAGGGTAATGTTCTGCTAGGGAAATCCTTTCAGTCCAGCAAATGAATCTGAATAAGTGCTGCTTGATACAGGCAGTAGAATATATTTTAAGAGAGCTTAATTTTTCCTGTTAACTGCTCTGACGGTATAAATAAGTATACACGTGCAGGTGGGGTGGGAGGAACAATTGCACAGCTTGTCTCTAGCCTAAGGGCTCCAGTGTGCCTTGCAGTCAGTGCTGAAGGTACATTCCTCCATCCAGTGTTTGGCTCAGCCTGTTCACGCTGCTGTTGGGTGGTTTGAGTCCCTGTGCTGAAGTCAGGCCACCCCAGTGTGGCAGTAAAATAGTTAACAGCTTGTAGACCTTTGCAGAACTTGCTAGTTAAGAACTATTTGCAGATAATGGTCTCATCAGTTTAATTAAGGAAGGAGTGAATTATTTGTTAAAGGGTGTGCTGCCTAGAGCCTCCTTATCTGAAGAATGCTATTGTTATTTACAATATCCTGCCTATCTGGCACAGTTTGAAGAATGAGTTGCATAACCTAAAGGTATATAAACTCTGTAACTGCCCCATTTGGGCAGAGTTCCTATCAGCAGTGTCTGTCACTCTGCTGTGCGGTGCTCTCCCTCATAGATGTAGTAATAAACTGCTTCTGTTCTGGCCTGACTGAAATTGCATCCCGGTTATTCTGTGGCAGCACAAGACCCCCGTGTCTGTTGTAGGCTCAGTTCCTTGCACAGTCAGAAGGGCTCCTGATTCTTGCCCTCCTTTGTCACAGATGTGGGAAAAGGCCGAGTAGGTGGGAAGCAGGACAAGAGGGAATTTTTTACTTTTAATGTTTAAAGCAGTTTTCAGTAACAACCCAATGAAGACTGAAGCCCTCCCTTGACCCAGTATGTTCCAGGCTAGATGCTCAACATGCCGCTGCAGGAGTTGGTTGTTGGTCCTTTGTGGTATGCAAGTACCATCACAGTAGGAATAAATCAGGGACACACTGAGTAGCACAGTATGTGAGAAGCTGCAGGAGCACACCCTTGTGTGTCAGATGCCACCAGCAAGGGTGCAGAGGGTGCCACTGTCACACCTTTAGAGTTCAGTGTGGCTTACAGGTTGGCTCTGGACCATCCTGCATTTGAACAAGACTGTATTACCTTCCAGGTAGTACAGCATCCCTGCTCAGTGTTTGACACTGAAAAAAATCACAATCTGTGTCTGCCAATCATGGGAAAGACACATTGTGATTCAGATTTGAAACTGTCAATTTAAATGTAAATTTTCTGGAGGTTTTTAGTTGGTTGGACTTGGGGTTTTTTTGGTGTGTGTTTTTTTTTTTTTTTTTTTCCTCTCTGAAATAACCCCCACTATTTTTTCCTCATGCAGTTCACCCTTTATTTCCTGATATTCCTTTCCAGGGCTCTCTTCAGAATGGGCCTCATTGTGACAGACTGTCCAATGTGTCCTAGTGAGATACTGAACCAGGTGTGCTCCAGTGATTTTTTTTTTTTTTATAATCAAGAAGGGTGTATAGCAAGTAGAGCTGGCTGAGAGGCTTGCAAGCTGTTGATATGGCCTGTTGCTCTTACCCAAACACATGGGTTACAGAAACATTTTTTTCCCTGAAGAATAAAATCAGTGAGTGTTGTGCACTAAGAAGAACGAGCAAACTGCTCCCAACAAGCTGTATGCCTCATAGGCCCATTTACTCTCCAATAGGTTTCTTTGGGAACAGGCTGGATTTTGCTGTGTATCTCTTGCTAACTGCACTATGGATGAGTGTGTTTTGTCCACTTCCAGCCAACGTGCCCCTCTGTGGCACAGCAGCAGAAATATTGCTGCGGCTGCAGGCTGCACCTGCGTGCACCGTCTGTGCCACCTTCCCTCCCCGTGCAGACCCTTGCACCAGCGGCTCCTGGCTTCTGCCATGGCATTGGACACTGGGCATAATGGGTGGCCTGGTTAAACAGCTGTGCTAATGGACAAAACGCTACAGAGCTTTCATGGCAGCCTGGAGAAACCTAGCAGACATCAGACGGTGCCAAAGCGTGTGTGGAAGGAAGATGGTGTGACAGCCCCTTTGTGGAAGCCGGATTTTGCAATCCAAGACATTGCCCCTTGTCCCATGCAGGCCTGTCTCGGCACCTTGGGCAGCCCCAAGGCAGTGCTCACACCCTTTCTCGGTGCCAGCACTTGCCTAGTATCACATGAAATTGCCTTTTACAGCGTTCCCTGGCAGCAATGTAGCTGCAACAGGTCCTGTGCTGAGCTCAGCACACGATACTTGCAAAATAAAGACATAATCCTGGAAGTATATCCTTGTTCCCAACTTGATTTTGCCGTCGGCGTTGTGCTGAGGCTCAGAGAAGCGATGGCAGTGTGCCACAAGCAGCCATGGCTTGGGCAGGGAGCCCTGAACCCACTGCTGCCATCAAAGATTTCCCATAGACAGGCAATGCTGCACCGGTGCCCCACCAGCGCTCCGTTGCAGCCCTGGTATTGCTCATGCATTGCTGCCTGGGGACCCTGGCGTGCCCTGTCCCCACGCAGTTTTCCGCAGGGCCCCCCGCACCTCCTGGTTGCGGAGGCTGTAGATGAGGGGGTTCAGCATGGGGGTGACGATGCAGTACAGCGCGGAGACCAGCATGTGGGCTGCTGGGGAGTAGCTGGAGCTGGGCCGGTTGTAGTTCAGGTTGGCTGTCACAAAGTACAGGGTGACCATGAGCAGGTGGGCAGAGCACGTGGAGAAGGCCTTGCGCTGGCTGGTGGCCACAGGTATCCTGAGGATGGTGGCCAGGATGTGGAGGTAGGAGACAACAACAAGCAGGAAGGGGCTGAGGCCCACAAAGACACTGGCAGCGTGCAGTGCCACTTCACTGGGGCGGGTGTTGCTGCACGCCACCCTCAGCAGTGGGGGGACATCATACAAGATGTGCTGAAGGCGGGCAGTCCTGCAGAATGAGAGCCTGGAGGCCAGGAGGGTGTGCACAGCTGAGTCCAGCATCCCCCAGAGCCAGCACCCAGTGGCTGCCACCACACAGACACCCCAGCTCATGGCGTGGGCATAGCGCAGGGGCTGGCATATGGCTGCGTAGCAATTGTAGGCTATGACAGCCAGGAGTGTGCACTCAGCCCCTGCACACCCCATCAGGAAGAACATCTGTGCCAGGCATCCATAGTAGGAGATGACCGCCTGTGGGCGCAGGGCATTTGCCAGGATCTTGGGCACTGTCACTGAGGAATAGCAAATATCCAAGCAGGACAAGTGACTGAGGAAGAAGTACATGGGGCTGTGGAGATGGGGATCCAGGAGCACGAGGGCGAGTATTGCAGAGTTCCCCAGCAGCGTGGCCAGGTAAATGGCCAGGAAAAGAACGAAGAGGAGGGGCCGGCTATGGGGAAAGCCCAGGAGCATGAACTCTGTCACTTGAGTCTGGTTCGCACCTGCCATGGGGCCAGCTGGGTTGGTCTGCAGGCAGAAATGAGCACTGTGAGGAAGAGGTAGTGATTGTGAGCCAGGGGTCTGCAGCACAACTGCCCATGAGGCAAGGGTTTCACTGATGGGATGGCTTTGGTCCTATCTCTACAGCAATCGAAATTTTCCCACATTGAGATTTCACAGACACTAGGATTTTAGAGTCCAGAGAGCTGCCATTCAATGTTGGATAACTGACTGCAAGAGAATCACACAGAAGAAACCAGGAATGGTGTGTGCCTAGAATAACCCACACTTCCTGGGTTCTCCTGCAAGCCCAACCCCCTGTCTTGATAAGTATACCAAGCTCATCTGTCTTTTCCTCCTGGTTGTACTTATGGTGACCACATGCTTCCCTACCTCCCTGGGACATGGTCGCATCATTCCTTAGATGCCACAGCCATTAAGTTTGCTCTTTTCCAGCTGATGGGTTGGGGATGTGATATCACCCGGCACCAGTTAAAAGAATTTTTTTTTTCTTTGTCCTGTCTCCTGCTCTGACATTTTTGGTGTACTTGGTTCTGCAATAACCAGCACTTGAAGAAGCACGGATTCCAATTGAAGTTGACTCACCACATGGTGTTTGTCAAGCCACAGGTGAGTTTAAGCCATCAGGGATATCCACTGGCCTGGGCCTTCTGGCCTTTCTTCCATCATCCTATTTCAATTTTCTCCTGGACATAAGGGTTTTGCGTACTGGTATGTGAAGTTATGATGACCATGTCCACAAGATGGATGAGGCATGGGGAAGCAGTTACTGCTCATAAGCCTCAAACAAGGGCTGTTGAAGGTGGTGCTTGCTGGGTGTTTGTAGGCAGGGCTGCTGCTGCCCACCATGCTGGTGCCATGAAGCCCAGCAGATGTAGGCCAGGTGCTTTGGTGTGCAAATGCAGCTTGACGCAGCAGCCTCTGTGTGGCTGCTGAAGAAATGGGGCTGAAAGAGAGGTTAAAAACCATCTGCGATCACTTTGTCTTGGGGTGCAGATCTGTCCTAGCACTTGTCACGGGCACACACTGCACTCAACCAGTCTGAATCCAGGGGTTACTCTCGGCTGGGTGGGGAAGAGAATCCAGAGAGGCTTAAGCTTACATATATGACAATAAGGGGACAAACAGGGATGGAAAGCATCAGGGCAGACTGTGGCTGCACGACAATACAGGGCACCTTGGGGAACTATGGGTGAACAGTGGGACCAGTACTGCTTAACAACTTTGTTGGTGCCATGGATGTAGGGATGAATGCACCCTCAGCAAGTTTGCCGATGACACCAAGCTGTGTGGTGCAGTGGACACTCTGGAGGAAAGGAATGTCATCCAGAGGGACCTGGACAGGCTTGAGAACTGGGCCTGTGCGAACCTCATGAAGTTCAACAAGGCCAAGTGCAAGGTCCTGCACCTGGGTTAGGGCAATCCCAAGCACAAATACAGGCTGGGCAGTAAATAGATTGAGAGCAGCCCTGAGAAGGATTTGGGGGTGTTGGTGGATGAGAAGCAAAACATGAGCCAGCAATGTGCACTTCCAGCCCAGAAGGCCAACCGCATCCTGGGCTACATCAAAAGAAGTGTGGCCAGCGGGTCAAGGGAGGGGATTCCCCCCTCTACCCTGCTCTCTTGAGACACCACGTGCAGTACTGCGTACAACTCTGGAGACCCCCAACATAAGAAGGAACTTACTGCAAGAAACTGTCACAGCACTGTTTAAAAGTTGTGTGTTTTTTTCCTGTTAGAACTGCTTGAATGTCAGCTCCGTCTCTCTCATAGTTTTCAGGTCTTTCTCTTCCAGATTAAAGACCCTCTATTCTAACAGTATTTTTTCCTTGCTTCTACTTGCACACTGTGATGAGTATCAGTGTTAGCTAAGTAGAAGAAGAACTAAGTTCTGATTGATTTCTCTTTTGCTCTCCAGTTTTTCAACTTTTTCTTTTTTTTTTTTTTTTTTTTTTTTTATTTTAATATTGAGAGGAAAACTTTCAGTCAAAAGATTAATTCTTCTTTGCCTGGCATAATGATATCCAAACTTGTTACTCTGTCTTGGATGTGGGTGCTACAAGGCTGAGAAACCATTGGCTGGCCGAGCTCTCCAGCAGTCTCCCAGATTAACATATTCTTTAATTTATGTAGTTTTTTTTTAAATATAATTAGTGATTTTGCATATATTGGACAGGTACATAAGAACTATACCATCCAATATTCTGGAAAAGTTGGACCATCACTCTTCCTTCAGCCAGTTGTTTGCATTTTGATGCAAGAACAACCCAACTTGTTTGGCCCAGCGTTGCAACCAGGAGCAGATGCCTGAGAGGGGTGAGAGCTGGGAGAGGCTGCAGCAATGTTCCCTAGGAATCATCTCCCATCTCCAGCTGTCCCTGCTGCAAAGCTGCATAATGTGCACGTTGATCTGTATAAATTCAAAATTATGTATGTGTGAACTTTCACAGCGCTAAGGCAGTTGGTGGTTTTTGTTAGGGCACAAGTGCCTCCACGGTGTAGGTGAGAGAAGAAGGCTCTGTCCAGGACCTTGTTGGATGCTTTTGCTACTGACCCGTTAGCCAGAGGCAGGAGTCTGCTGACCAGTTATGGTGAAGCTGGTGAAGGTGGGGACCTGCCTGTTACATAGGAGGAATAGGGGACCTTAGGAACCAGTGATAAAAATAAGAATAAATTTAATAGTAGGGGATTAGGCGTCTAAGGATTAGTCACCTGTTTATGCTCTGAACTGGGGCTCAACACACAGAAATAAGAGCAGGTGAACAGGAGGTTTGTGAGCCCACCGCATGCTACCAACGAGCCCTTGGTTTGATGTAGGTACACAGCAATGACATGTAAGTCATCGTACTTGCAGCAGCAGCATCAGCGGATTATTTGTTCCACTGCAGGCAGGACAGTGAGTTCTGGAGAGCTGGAGATGATGCTCTCCCCACGCTGACAAATTCAGGCTGGATTAGGCATGGAGCTACAGGGCTACAGTACAGGCATCGGAGTTGTGCAGAGGAATGACCATAATTTTTTGCCATGGTCTGGAGCAATGGAGCTCTCAGTGGACACAGCTACATGACAAGGAATGGCAGATTTAAACCCTTTGTCCTCAGATATCTTGCACAAAATGAAACAGGAAGACACAGTAGGAAAATCTCCCTTTCACCCTTGGACTGCACAGGAATGAGCCTTGAAAGAGTTTCCACCTTGCCTCAGCTCCTTTTCTCTCTCTCACTCAGACTGAAGGCAATTTCTCTTGGTAACTAATTTTTACCAAATAATGAATAACTTCCCATGAAGCTACACCTTTGCCCACCACTGACCAGTCCAGAAAGGGTTGATGGGGGGGCAGAGAGGGGGCACTAATGTCATCGGTGTCAGGGTGGCAGCTGGTATCTGTCATTCCCTCTGGGAGAAGGACGGTACCCCTTCGATGGCGATGCACCAGCCTGAGACCCAGCTTCTGGTGCAGTCCCTGAAGCGGTGTGCCTTATGTCACCACTGTGCACTTCTGCATAGCTCCAGCGTTTTGGGGAGCATTATGTCACCCTTCCTCCTGCAGGAGGCCAGATGTGCTCCGTGCCCACCCAGGGAAGCCAGTGCTGCTCCTGCAGGGGGATATGGCTTTCCTCACCAAGCCACCGCATCCCGTTCGCACTCAGGTGAGCAGACCAAAAAACCTGGAGCATATGGCCATGGGAGGTAATGTCCTGAGTCTTGGGTACAGTCCAGTCACAGTTTGAGGTGATGGTTGGACTGAGGGAGCCAGCAATAAGACAGGATTAATGTCTCCTGAAAAGGACTGGATTGTTTTGTTTGAGGCATCACCAGCAGCCACAGCCTGCTTGCATGCCCAGACCACCCAGGAGCCCTGGGCGCCAGTACTCGGTTTGCTTCAAAGTAGTGTGCCGATAGAGACCCCTGTGAGGGTCCCACCATGAATGAGGCCCTGCCCCACCACGGGCAGCAGTCCTGCCCTCCCAGTCCTCCCTTACCTCCATGTCCAAGAGCAAAGAGTGGATGGCATTCAGTGCTGAGTAAGAGGGAAAATCTAGCAATGTCCCCAGGTGCTGTCCAGTTTGTCTTTCCTGCCCGAGGAAAAGACAGTGTGTCCTCCAGGCTTTCGAGCAGAGGAGAGGCTTTTAACCCTGCGAGGGCCCTGGGGGAGAGGCTTTCAGGGGAAGGTCTTCTTCAGTGGCAGGAGCAAGGAGCAACAGAGTGTTCCACCAATCAGCCTGCACAAATGGGATCCAAGCCCACAGGACAAAGCCCTCCTGGCACAGGACCCACCTTGGTCTCCTGTTCTGCTCCAGGCTCTGCCAAGTGCAGACCAGAGAGTGCTCTCTAGCCCTGTCCTCCTGCTCCAGCCCTGTCGCAGCTCTTGGGGTGCCTGGGCTTCAGCACAACTGACCATGCCGGGCACTCCGGACCATAGGAGGGTGGCTGCCTGAGGAGGCTGAGCGCTCCAGTCTCTGTGCCCTAAGTCCATCTTTATGACTCTGTTTTATCTGTTTTAGGGCTAGTGTAGGTGCCTACACTGGCCAATGCCAGCAGAGAGGCTGCAATGAGGAGGGCTGGCCATCGGCCACATTCACAGCAACAAACCTGTGGGCAACACAGTCATAAGGTGACTGGATGGCGTCTGCACCACATCCATGCTCTCATGATCTACAATAACCATGTCCACCAGGCCCAGGCTGTGTAGGGCGCTCTGGAGTGGAGAGTGTAGTCCAGGGGACTAGGAGAGGACATGGCCATGGTGGGACTAGGATCTGGCAGCAGCTCTGATTAGGCTTAGTTAAGGCACCAAGTAGAGTCCTGTGAGTTCTTGAAGAGCCAGGCAGCAGGATTACATGGACTTACACAGGGTGAATGCTGCCTGCTCTGAGCCTAGAGCCATTCCTGATAGAAATAGTAGGTTTAGCTGGAGTTCATCATGTAGTGCCATGGAAATGTGAAGCGTG